GTTTCCTCTTCATTTGTAGGAGAGATAAACCACAGAAAACAATTAATCCTTCACCAAGGTACAGATGTTCACCAAATGCCTTCTCTTAATACACCAGTCAAACCAAATTGTATATTATGTTTACTAAAGTGTGTTCTATCTTTATTTATTTATTTTTTAAATTTTATTACTCTGTTAGATATTCATATTTCATGCTTTGGCTTGTCGGTTCAAAATGAAATTGTTTTTGCTAGAATTATTCACCAGAGTAACATAGGAGTGCTGAAATTGTATAACAGTGGTGCTGCACAATAAAGACTGAACCACTGGTGACAGCAGTATTACTGAAATCCATGTTTTGTTGCTCTCCTCCAGGTTCGTTCTGCTGGCTCCAGATGTGCTGAGGACAGACAGCGATGAGAACATCTACTTACAGGCTGATAGTGTGTCTGACCCCATGGCTGTCTCCATCCTGATCCAGGACGTCAGGGAGGCTGTCACGCTTTTACAGGACTCGGTCACACTAAATCAGGCAAATGGATTCAGCACCCTCAAACCTATACAGGTGACTCAGCAAGCTCATATTTAAGGTTACCCATTCAACTCAAACAGAGGATACGTGCACAAGTGCCATTTATCGGAAGCTACTAACCTACATCTGAAAAATGTGTGAACTATTTGTGATATGATGTTCACTAAATAGCCTCAAACAGTTACAAAAGGAGCAGTGCAAAGTCTTAGATGTTGAATGTTTGTAACATGACTTCTTAAAATAAAAAGAAGTCATTCTCATTGTTTGCATGCTCCTTCGCTCATATTTATTTATTGTTAGCTCATCCAGTCAAAGCACCAGTGAGCTAATGCGATGGTAAGACGTCGCCCCTCCTAAAATTCCCAAGAATTTGTCCCGAGAGTCGGATTTTTGTGGAACGAGATTAATTTGTACAGCTTGTCTTGGATATGAATGTTTGTGAACTTCCTTGACTTCTCAGTTAATTTAGGTTCTCACTACCTTGTGCCGTACAGGCAACCAGTGCCAACATAACTGTCTTTCTGTACTTCACACATTGTAATAACCTGTCAACTGTGATGGATCCTGAGCAAAATCATCTTTGACATTCTGGTTGACAGAATGTAATCCAAACTGTTTCAAACGGAAATAAATGCTAAAGTCAAAGTGAATGAAAGAAATTAGAGATAAAAAACTGATAAAATTCACTGACTGAGAGCAGCTTTTGAGAGTAACTGTCTTCTATATCACAATCACATCTCATCACAGCTTTCCTCTGATTTACTGAATCGCGAAGAAAAGAAGAAGAAATTTGTGACTTTGAAAGTGACCTTTGGAGGTTTCCACGTTGAGAAGAGGATAATAATGGTAACCTTTCACTCTGGGTACATCTTTATCCAGACAGACAAACCCATCTACAACCCAGGAGATACCGGTGAGAACAGAGGATATTCATTAAAACTTCAAAGAAAACTTCAAAATAAAGATGCGAACACTTAAAACAACTATAACATGACTAGACGAGATAGTTTTCAGGTTGTATCTCAAAAAGCATATTTGTTAAGGACTATTTTAAGATAAGATAAGATAAGATAAGAAAAGATAACTCTTTATTGTCATTGCACAGTCATGCATAGTACAGTAGTACAATGAAATTGGAAAACTGTCCTACGTCGGCACTACATATAACACAACACGACACGATATGAC